AAAATTAAATTGAAAAATTAAATTGGTTGCTAATTTATATAAATTAACAATTTTTCTTACTGAGAATACTGTTCTTTTATTGAATAATTAGAGTATTAAACTGTTAAAATTTTAGCTATTATTTAAAACTATTTTAGTCAAAAGACATAAGGTGTTTAAATGAGGTGATAGGAATTTTAAAATGTTTACCAGTACACATTTGCCGGATTCAAATGTACAAATTGTTATTGAAACATAGTTTTGAAAACGATTTGCAAAAGAAGCAACCAATACTTCATTACCACGAATTTTACCCCATGATGCTGAGAATAAATATGTAGCATAACTGCAAATATTTTGTAAATTTATTAAAATATTTATAACTGTTCAATACCTGTTACTTTGACATTCAATAAACAGCATAAATAAGAAAAGTCAAGAATTTAATTGCAGATTAATTTGTACAAAAACAAAAAAAAAAAAAAACTTCCGGGAAATGATTAGTGCTATAATAGCGCTTTTTCCTTTTGATAAAAGAATAAAAAATAAACGAAAAAAATTGCAAAAAAAAAAAAAAAGTACGTACGATGAGTTTCGCAAATCAATGAACATTTTTTTGGTTTGTTTATTAATTCGATCAAAAATTGATAAAGAAATCTTTGGTAAATTTTTTGCACCAGTTTTTGGATATGGAATACGATTTGTAAACGGATACTGTCGTTTATCGTAAATTGAATATTCAATTTGCGTAACATTTCGATCATCAATTGATAAAAATGCCAAATAGTTACCGGAACGGGACCACCAAAGTGTCTTTAAAAAAAGCTTTTCTTTTTATCTTTACTATCGGCAGTCAATATAATATTAAAAAAAAAAAAAGACGCAAATTATAAAACAGGAAGATGAAATCTTAGAAAGAAAAAAAAAAGCTGAAACTTTAGATTCTAATAAGCTTAGTTAATCAAATTTTCTAAAAGAAAAAAAGCTCGAAATAGAAAAAAAAATTTGTTGTTTAACATAAGGTCATTTTTAGATTATTATTTTTCGTCTTAAACGTTGCTCAAATTTTATTTTAGCTGCGACTTT